ACACACTGCGCACAGCGGCTCAGACTGGGCTCCAGGCGGGGCTCTGCAGAGGCCGACCAGTCTGAGCCGTCCTCCCAGCACTGCCTCGACTTGGAGCCCTGGAACCACCTGGCCTCAGGGCCCTGGTCCATTCTGAACCATTTTGCAAGCCTTGCTTAGTTTCACGAAAGGCAATTTTCCCAGACAGGAGAAACACTGGATTCCCCACCAGCTCCCAGGAGTCACACTCAACTAGCTCTCCGGGGCTAGATGGGAACCTGCTTTTGAAGGACACAGAGCTCATTAGCGGCCGTTCACTGTGACTTGGAAGTGCCCTTTCTTGCCAACGTCGGGTTGCCAGCAAAACTGATAAGCAAATGCTCTATCTCCGTGGCCAAGTAACTGATAAAACTATGAGGAAAGCAGATGCTGGAGCTGGGACCCGCCCCGGCACAGGCACCCCAGGCGTGTGGCTGTGGGACGGTGACCAGCCAGCCTGCCACAGGCCGCTGCGTCCCGAAGACCTCACCAGACCCTGTGTTTGAGGCTGCGCAGTCTCCCGAGGTGTCCAACCAACCGTTATGGGACATCCAGTGTGAGCACCAAGGCCTCCCTTGAGAGAAACCGGGCCACCTCGCCGGTCCTTGGTGCAGGCACGCAGTGCGGGGAAAGCGATGGCCTCTCGGAGCGGGCCTGACGCCTGGCGAGGCTCTGCTGTCGTCCCAGGCGCTCACAAAACTGAACCACAGCCGGGTGCTGACCTGCTTCACAGCCGTTTCCCACCGGGGACCCTGGAGGTGACAGTCCGTGGAGGCTGGCCTGGAGCTGCTTCTGGTCCCCTGCACCTCATGGCTGCCGGCGGGCATGCCGACCAGGACGCTCCTACCCGGTAGAAACGGGCTGCACAGGTGTGACGCATGGGCGGCGCAGCACAACGTGCCGACGATGTAAGACACTACCCGAGCCGGATCCTGGCCCCGCCGCCAGCAGGCTGGAGTCCGGCCAATGCAGCAGGCGGCAGGGAAGCTGGGTAGCGCACCTGAGGCGGCGCAGGCTCGTGGGCAGGTGAACCAGGCCACCCTGCCCAGTCTGGTGTCTCTTGACGAGAAACGTCCTTGCACAGCCTCAGCCAATGCCGTGATTCTGGCTCTCTTGGCCCCACCCTGGCCATCTAAAAGTGGCTAGTTGTCTTTCCCAGGAAAAGCAGAGAGGGACACAAGAAGGAGCGTTTTTAAAGAACAATGCAGCTAGCAACCGAGAAGCGGTGGAACAAGAAAATAAGCATTGGGCAATCACCAGCAGTGACCGGCTGGCAGGGTCACCAAGGGCACCTGAGCCACAGGGAACATATTGGTGGGGAATAGGAAATCCGCATCTTTTCCCCTTGTAAAATGTGCTGAACTCTTGGTGGTTAACTTCCCTTAAAAATGACAAAGGCAGCTGAAACCGGTTTGGCTCAGTGGTAGAGCGTCAGTCTGCGGACTGAAGGGTCCCAGGTTCGATTCTGGTCAGAGGCATGTACGTTGGTTTCGGGCACATCCCCAGTAGGGGGTGTGCAAGAGGCAGCTGGTCCATGTTTCTCTTTCATCGACGTTTCTAGCTCTCTATCTCTCTCCCTTCCTCTATGTAAAAAAAAAAAAAAAAAAAAAAAAAAAAAGACTGTAAAAAAAAAAAATGACAAAGGCAGCCTGGCCAGTGTCGCTCAGTGGTTGGGCATCATCCCATTAACCAAGAGGTTCTGGTTCAATTCCTTGCCCGTTTCAGGTTTCAGGCTCCATCCCCAGTAGGAGGTGTGCAGGAGGCAGCCTATCCATGTTTCCTCCCTTATCAATGTTTCTATCTCCCTCCCTCTCTAAAAAACAATAAAAAGCAAACTATTCCTAAAAACACACAATGAAGAATGACAAAGGTCAAAGGTGCCTTTACGGTGAAGCCTGGCGGCCTCACTGGACGAAGTGCTTGACCCCCAGCTCACCACACTCCAGGCCCACACCCAGGGACCCTAGCCAGAGGCCAGCACTGCCCAGAGACTTGTGTGAGGGACGCTAAGAACCAGGCAGGGGGTGGGGGTTTGTACTAAAGAGGAACAGCAAGGACATGGCCTGCTGGAGCTCGGTGGCGTTCCATCCAGGGAAACAGCTGTAGAAAACTGACTTTGGACCAAGGGGTAGCGTGAACCTGGCCAGTCTGCCGACGGGGCGGCGAGTGCTGGTGTCTGTCCTCGGGGAGATGATGGCACCGAGTCATGGGAGGGTGTCCTGCCTCAGGAGACACAAGCCAATGGTTCAGGAGGTCAGTGTCACCATCTCTACTTCCTGGTGATTACGGCCAAAACGCCTGTGCAGGTGCACGTGTCTGCACACAGAGAAAAAGGAAGCGTGGCAACTGTTAGCAACTGGCAAAGAGGAAGAACTTGCCCTTTCTCTGGAAACAATGCTGACAAGTAGAATGAAAGGAATATTCCATCAAGTCTCCATAGAGGGTCATTTTAAAACACCCTCAACTACTTTTATTTGGGCCAGAGTCTGTATTTCACTTGCCTTGTGAGAGGCAGGAGGCCAGGAGAGGCAGCCGGGCAGATGGACAGGAGAGGTGAGAGAGTCAAGAGCCCGCTCCCTGGAGTAAGAATAGGGGAGACTACGGGGGGTCGTCAGCATTCGTCAGACACCTCCCCGGGTGGGAAAGCGTGGGCCTGACAACCCGCAGGCGGCCAGCTCATACATCCTCGCTTGGACACGCTCAAGGTCAAACCGCTTGGCCCTGGACACAGGAGACATTGTGTTCTAATGCACAGGCCGTGGTGTTCCCGACGGCACCTCAGAACATGCAAAGCTGGACCCATTTCCTTTCATCATCTTATCATGCAAACACAATTTTTCATCATTTCCAGCTCTCACCATAAACGTCACCTGCGAACTCCTCCCCCGTCGCTGTGCCTGCAGCATCCGATACAAAGCGTCAGGCTGAGAACAGGTGAAGCTCTCATTCCCAGGCCAGCCTCACTTTCCCAAGATAACCCGTTGCCCCAAACTTTCGTGACTCCCACGGACCCTCTGTGCACAAAGCCTGCACCCTTTGTGTTCAGGTATGAGGCTCTCCAGAGGCTCCCAGCGTGGAGCTGTCTCCATGGTTACAGCCGCAGAGCCAGAGCGTGTCTTGGAGCAGATGCTACATGATCCCCAAGGCCAGGTTCACGTCCGTTTCCAGCCCCTTTTGTGGCTCTACTGTCTCAATGTCGAAGTTGCCCTCCTTCCCCCAACTCTCCTCCAGGCACTTAGATTGCACCTAGAGCTGGGAGGGCTGCCCCAGCTCTGAGGTCCAGTCCCCAGAGGTCATTATTGGACCTCTGCAGGCTCCACTGACCCAGATCCAGATGTTGATGAAAGCACCACCAAGCTTCTCAAACTCCTGTCCACCCCCCTCAACCTCTTCATTTAAAGGTACCACCTCCTGATGCGTACCCATCAGGACATCTCCAAAAACTTCACTCTCACCACTGCTGAGCCACAGATGGCGCTGCTGACCTGGCAAGTGGCAGGAACCACCAGCCTGTGAACTGCCTGGGGAGAGGGGTCAAGAGCCAGCCCGCTGGAGCAAGAATAGGGCAGAGACGCCAAGAGGTGGTCAGGAGCCTGCGTCAGAGCGAAAGGTCTGCCTCAAAGTGGACTTTCTCCTTGAGGAAGTGCTGATGGACACCCCAGCCCCTGCCCTGCGGGCAGCACTGCTTGCACCCTGACCACCACCCGGCAGACGCTTCTTGTGGAAAAGCCTCTGAATGAAGTGCAGGCTCCAGCACACTCAGCCTTCTTTTTGTCCAAGTTCGGAGCCCGCTGGGGGCTCGGAGCAGGAGCAGCCATGTCCGAGAGGCATTACAGCTAATCCAGAACTGAGTTCATTTAAAAACTTAGCCCATGCCCTGGACAGTGGATAGAGCATTGGCCGGCAGAGTGAAGGGTCCTGGGTTCGATTCTGGTCAAGTGCACATGCCTGGATTGCAGGTTCAATCCTCAGTTGGGGCATACAAGAGGCAGTCAATTAATGATTTTTCTTTCATTATTGATGCTTCTCCCTCTCCCTTTCTCTCTGAAATCAATAAAAGTATATTTAAAAAAAGAATTCTTGCCGAAACCGGTTTGGCTCAGTGGTAGAGCGTCGGTCTGTGGACTGAAGGGTGCCGGGTTCGATTCCGGTCAAGGGCATGTACCTTAGTTGTGAGCACATCCCCGGTGGGGGGTGTGCAGGAGGCAGCTGGTCGATGTTTCTCTCTCATGGACGTTTCTAGCTCTCTATCTCTCTCCCTTCCTCTCTGTAAAAAATCGATAAAAAAAAAAAAAAAAAGAGTTCTTACCACAGTAAAATAAAATAAACGACAAAAAAGAAACTTAGCCCGTTAGTTTAGAGACATGTGGAGACACTGGGACTGCATGTTGTGTTTCTAGTCACGAGCTGCTGACACTATGTGACAGTGTGTGGCGAAGGGGTCTGACCGGGCTCCCTCAGTCCGGCAGCTTTCCAAGGCGGCTGTGGAAGGACAGCACACTGCAGGGTCTGTGGGTATGTATCGTATACAAAGCCATGCTCTCGACACAAGTCTTGGTGACTTTTTTGCAACAAGTCACCTTGTAAAAATGAAACAGAGGTCTTCAGGGTGACATTTACAGCGAGCCTCCCCATTTAAGAGGAAAGCACATTCTAAGGGTGACATGCCTCTTCACAGCCAGTCTGCGCATCAGCAGGCGGCTCTATGTCTCACTCTTCCCAGCCCCGGCTCAGGAGGAGCCCCAGGAAGTTCCTCAATGCTGTTTAGAAAAGTGCATCACAACCTGGAATCGATGGGTGTAAATGGTCAACAGGAATAGGGAGCACGTGCAGCACCGAGTCACAGCTTCAGAGGCATCACACGAACAACCCACACCCTCTACATGCAGAGACATCTCCTCGGCTCACTGTTCTGGAACATCTGCGTTCCAGATACTTAAGAGTAATCAATTACGTATCAGGCACCATATTTAACTGATGGCTTCTGAATTTTTAACTAATATGTTTAGAAAGATAAAAAACATGTCAATTTCTTTATAACTGCACCCTCTAGTGGCCCATCTTATCTATGAAAAAAAACAAGAACCACACAAGTGCCCACTTGCACACTCACCCGTCTTGTTACTCAGAGAACAGTGTGTCTGCCCATGCCTCCTACACACACACACACACACACACACACAGACTCACAAGTGCGCAAGCCCTCACAAAACTGGTTTACCACACACTCAATATAACCTTGGATCAAAAATTATCTCAAAATATAATATTATAAATACAACAACCATGACATGGCTCTCCCCAGCTTTTACAGTCGGCAGAGTAACAGGCCTGTGGGTTAAAAGGGCGCCTGGCAGATAGGCCCCTACATTCTCAGAGAAGGCTTTCCTTGCAAGGCCTTGGTGGCGAGCGCGGCTCTCTCCCGCAGCGCGCCAGCCTCCTCGGCACTGCGGTGCGCCTGCACGCTCTTCAGCAAGAAGTGGCTGATGAAGAGCTTCAAACCTTCACGCAGCACACCCAGCTTCGGGTTGTCGGACACCCTGGAAAGAAATCACACGAACTGTCAGACAACTCGTCTACCTAGCTCTCCGTTCTAGAAGTCTTGGAGAGAAGAAACGATTTATTTTACGAAGATAACTCTTGCCTAGGCCTGTGTGGCTCAGCTGGTTGGAGCGTTGGTCCCGTACACAAAAGGTGGCAGGTTTGATTCCTGGTCAGGGCACATACCTAGGTTGTGGGTTCAATCCCCAGTTGGGGCACATGTGGGAGACAACTGATCAATGTTTCTCTCCCTCCCTGCCTCCTTTCCTCTCTAAAACATAAAAATAAAAATAAAAATAACTTGCAATGAAGAATTTAACATATCCTATTTACAAAAAATCATTATTGGTTTGCTATCAGGCAGGTTTCCTGTTCCCGAAATCGAATGTATAACCTACTGTACTAGCTTAGAACTAAAATGGGAACGGGCTTAAGGAGACGTTGCTTTTACAAGTGACGTGTGAATGGGAACAGCCCCCCTTTCCCATGACGTGCCGGCACAGCTGGGACCATACCTTGCGAAAATGAAACAGAGGTCTTCGACTTCTGTTCCCATCAACAGCACATGTAACACTTCTCGTAAAAAGTGGACTCTGGGTTTATCCAACTCACTGAATTCAACCACCTAATAGTCAGGATAGAAAGAAAAATAAAGTTACACTGATATAGTCAATAATTTCTAAGTAGAATAAAAAACAGCCCTCCCTTAAATAAGGATATGTCTAGCTTTACGAAGTGACAGAAAGCCTACGCACTGCTGGTGGGAGCCAGCAGGCACTTAATTTCTAGACTCGAGTGAGCTGAAGCAACAAATAAAAAGGACTGTCATCACTTTCACTGCTGTCAGTAGTTCCATCTGTTACACACACCTTTAAAATGGAAAGTGGGAGTGACTTTGTCTTCAACAAGTGGGCCACCAGAGAAACCAAATTGGAGAAGTTGGTGGCTGGTAAGTTCTCTAAGTCTCGAAATTTGTCCCATATGCTGAACTGGAACGTCATCTAACGTAAGAATGGGAAAGAAGAAAAGTTTAAACACAAGTTATTAGAACAAATGACTAAGAATATATTCTAGCCCTTGCCAGTTTGGCTCAGTGGATAGAGCTTGCGCCTGTGGACTGAAGGGTCCTGGTTCGATTCTGATCTGGGCACATGCTCAGGTTGCAGGTTCAAGTCCTAATGAGAGGCGTGCAGGAGACAGCTGATCAATGACTCTCTCATCATTAATGTTTCTCTCTCTCTCCTCTTTTCCCCTCCTCTCTGAAATCAATAAAAGTATATTTAAAAAAAGAGAATACAATCTAAAGATACTCTGCTTATCTACTCATTTGTAATCTTAAAAATCAAAACTCTGAGGACAACTCTACTGTGCTTTCTGATGCTGAGGGGACAGCAGACAGCCACACTCGGCCCCTCCAGCAGCAGGAACGTTGGAGGACAGTTTGGTGCGGCACCAGAGGCACTAGGCGGTGACTGGGCTGTGACAGTCCCTCACCCGTGACCAGAAGGTGACACGGTGGACACGGCTTTGGTTGTGGTCAGCTACTCTCCCCGGGACCCCGCCTGGGGTGGGCCGAGCCTGGCAGAATGCTGAGAGGACAGCGGAGCGCGGGGACCTGTCAGCTTCTAACAAGTTACCTGGAACCTCCTCTCATAGTCACAGAACTTGCCGGCCAGGAAGGCGTAGAAAGGGTTGTACGTTTTCTCCTGCAGGCAGCAATCCATGAGAACGTGAACTACTTCCCTTTCCTGCTGGTCCTTAAGCCCAAGCCTACAAAACACCAACAGCAACGGCGACATTTCAATTCCAAACCTGAACAGGTTTCAGGCAAGGACCTTTCCAGGGCCACACCCTCTGGCAGTTTGGTTAAAAAGGAGTAGACCCGAGGTGGGGTAACAAGGCAGGAGGGACAGGCCGGGCCCTGTCCCCACCCTCCCTGGCCTTGGTGACCATGGAGTCACTGATTGGTATGTCTTGTGCAGCTACAAAGGCCTGTCACTGGTTCCTGAGGGACCAGTAACAGGACCAGCACTGGACTGTGATGCTCATCGCCAGGTTCCGGCCATCGTCCGGACTTCCCACAGAAGCACGCTTCCTTCCAGTGCAGCGCTGAGCTCAGACAAGTGTCTAGTCCTGTACTATTTCCCTCCATTTCCTTCTGAATTTGAAGCAAATAAGGAAAATTACTATCACTCTCTTGAGGAGTACCTGCACTTCTTAAATCTTATTGCAACTAATTACAGAAATGGTATCAGACCTTTTATAATTAGAATTAGGAAGACCTTTAATCTAGAGATGTTAAGCAATTCATGACAACCAGCAGCCACTGAGAACTGTCAACTGGTTACCTAAAAAATTTTTAATTAATCCTCACCTGAGGATACATTTTTTCTTTTATTTTTAGAGAGTGAAAGGGAGGAAGGGAGAGTTAGAGAAACACATCGATTGGTCGCCTCTCACACGCACCCCAACCAGGTACATGCCCTCGACAGGGAATCAAACCCTAGACTAGGGGTGTCGAACTCAATCAGAGAAGGGGCCAAAATCTAAAATCCAGCCTAAATCGCGGGCCAAATGGTTTACTGAACAGTCATAAACGGTCATTGTGATGGAAACGCAGCGGAGTGCAGTGATGACAGCGCGGTGCGGGCCACATTGCAAGGCCTGGCGGGACGGATTTGGCCCACGGGCCTTGTGTTTGACACATGTGCCCTAGACCCTTGGTGCTCAGGCTGATGCTCTAACCACTTAGCAATACCTTCCAGGGCTCACCTAAGTTTTAATGAAAATGTATTATAACCTAGAAGTATTAGCGGCCAGTGGATAGGAGCAAGGTTGCTGAGCCCAGACGCTGGGTCCAGGGGAGGAGCAGGCCAGTCCAGCAGCCTGACCCCAGATGCAACGTCAGCATCTTACTCCCTCAACATCTATCTGTTCAGGTGGCCAAGTGTTCACCCAAGTGCTTACTTTAGAAGCTTCTCAAATGCGTCCAAGAAATCTTCACTAGTCATAATCGTACAAAATATGTTTCTCCTGACGTCGGTGTTCATTCTCTGCTTTCGGGCGAGTTCTAGCATCTTGGCGCTAACCTGAAAGGGGGGACGATTGAGATGTGGGTCACACAAGTTTAATGAGATCTGTGACTGTGGTTTTGCTCAGTCGCTGGAGTTAGGTTTCTAAAAAAGAACGTGTATGATTCTGTGCCTTGCCCTAAGCATAACTGTAAACTGTAGGCGCGTGTATGTAAATGCAACATCTTTATTCTTGGGCAGCTCCCCAGGAAGGGAACACACCAGGAAGGACCAAGAGGCCAGGCGAGAACACACCGGCCGTGGGAAGCTCCGGGGGCAGGCCGGTCAGCCTGAGCAACAAGGGGTCAGGACATGGGTGCGTGGTCAGAGCAGAAGAGCTGCGGGATGTGGGGTGCTGACACGGAAAAGGGCTTCAGGGGGGGAAAGTGAAGTATAAAGCACAAAGAATGCACAGCATTTTGCCCATCTGAGTTCCAGGTTCGTGCCCGGCGGCCACATTTCCTGGGAAGCAATGTGTCTGTCTGCAAACGTGTTCTAATGCTCTGTGCCCTCATCCAGTCAGCTTGTAACTCTTTCATGTACATGTTTTTGGGACTTGAAACAAACCCCTTAAAAAGTAACAACAGAAACTGAATTAAATTGTATCACAGAACAGCACCAATTCTACAAGGTCTGCAAATAAGCCCTGGCTGTCCATCGCAATAACCCAACCGAGAGGAGGGCGGCCACTCCGGGGAGCCAGGGGGCGCCGGGGACACAGCAACGCGCCTGGTAGCAGCGAGCCGGGTGCGTACCGTGCCCGCAAGTGGCTTCTGCAGGGCCTTCTGCTGACTGCTGTCGATCATCGGGGCCCCGCTCCAGGCCGAGCCCACGATCCACCAGCGCCCAGTCTGCTCGGCATTCAGGACGCTGTCCCAGGACACGCGCAGCTGAGGTTCCGTGCCCGCGCCGGCGCCACGCACCTAACGGAAGGAAACGGAGTTGGTCAAAGGCTTCAGATGGACCAGTCTACCTCCCTCCTCCCCCACCTCCTGTTTCCAACAATGGCATTTCTGCTGCATGCACTCTGTGATGAGTCACCGACAACGGGACGTCACCATGTGGAATAATGCCAAGTGAGAGGCACTCCCAGGGTCTGAGGTCTGCGGGCCCATCCCCCCGCCCGCTGTCTCTGGTACGTTGTCACAGCAGAGCAAGAGGCTCAGGCTCAGGCCCGCTCCGTCTGGCTGGCAGTGGGAACACTGCCTAGAGGGGCCTGCAGTTGGCTGAGACAGCGGTTCTGGATCTGACTAAAGAAAGGGCAGAAGACTCGCCTGACTGGGTCTCAGGTAAAAATCCCCGGGGAGCGCAAATGAAATAGACAAGCCCCCTCTTCCATGCTGAACGCCTCTGGTTCTGATGGGCCTCTTCCAAGGGCACCAGAAGGTTCTATTGTGGTTCTGTTGTGCAGGTGAGTCCAGCACCACGGGCTCAGCCTCGGGGGTGCTTGCCGCCCACAGGCTCTCACCTCACAGACTCCTGCTGACAGGCCAGGCACTTGCCTCCCAGCCTTCCACTCCATGGTGGGCTCCTGTTCACCTGGAGGCCCAAACCAGTCACAATCAAGGTACTTACCAAAGCTCTTTGCAATTTTCTCAGTTTCTCCACAGGCTCAGGGTCATAACCCGGAATCTTCCGCATGTCATTGTTCTTCAGTGCCAACATCGTCTCCAGCATAAACCGAATCTTTAAAAAAAAGAGAAAACATCATTTCAAATTGTGAAAACAACTGACCTTCAGCTTGGGAATAAGAAAACCAACTCTGCATGTGGCCTCACTGGAGATGGTCTCAGGCAGCCTATCTCTGCTGCAGCCTCTGCAGTATTTTAACAGAAATTAGATCCAGCAGGGACCTCCACGGGGCTGACCACTCCCACAGATTTCCTCGCTTCTGCTCCTTCTGCCCCGCTACCCCAAACCCCTCCCACTGATGCCCCCTCCGGGCCCTGTGCTCTGAGTCACTCCTCCTGTTGCTATTCCTTCCCCACGCATGGCCTTTTTATTTTTCCATCTTTCAAACTGAAAATGTTACACTTAGAGAAAAGTTGCTAGAATACTACAGACACTTCCCAGAAACCCTTTTCTGAGATTTCTCCAATGTTGACTTTTTAAAAAATAACATTTTTACCGACTTCAAAGAAGAAAGGGAGAGATAGAAACATCAATGATGAGAGAAAATCAATGATATGCTGCCTCCTGCACAACTCCTACTGGGGATGGAGCCTGTGCCCTGACCAGGAATCGAACCATGACCTCCTGGTTCATAGGCTGCCACTCAATCGCTGAGCCACGCCAGTCGGGCAAATGTTGGCTTTTTATTGATATAATTCACATACCACAAATTCACTTACGGAGTGTATGCTTAGTATATATTCAGGATTGGGCAACTATCGCCATAATTTTAGAATTTTCATCACTCCGCCCCCTCAAAAAGAATCTCAAAACACATTAACAGGTTCGCCCCAATTCCCCCATCTCCCAGCCCTAGGCAACCATGAGTGTCCTTCTATCTCGCTGACTTCAGGGTTTTAAGTTTGACCGTGGGCATTCAACGTGGGGGCAACTTCTCTTTTGGAACACTCCTGTCTGGCTCCTGTGACCTTCCTCCTGCTCTTCCTCCCCTCAACCGTGCAGTCCCAATGCCTGTCAGCTTTGCAACCATGGCCTCAGGACCTCCTCAGAGGGCTCAGACCACACCTCCTCCCAGTGAATCCAGGGACTGCCACTGTGGGATTCTAGAAACTAGCCAGGCTTCCCTCCTGTGTGTGCTGCTGTCCACGAAAGGCCCACCCTGAGAACCTGGGCTGACCCACCCCCTCCATTCCCCGCTTCCCTCCCACCCACACCAGCCCGGTCAATCTTGACTCCCACACCCCTCCATACAAGTGTCCTTGCCACTGCTGTCGCAGAGCTCCCTATCACCTCCCTCTTGTACACTGTACCAAAGCGACATTAGCGTGAACACTTCCCATGTTATTTTCCCACTCAGAACCCTCAGTGCCTCCAGGATAAAAGGCAAAGTCCCGAGAACCGAGGCTTCTGTGCCCTCCTCCATCTTTTTATTTTTAAAAAAATTATATATATTTTAATGATTTTTTTACAGAGAGGAAGGGAGCGAGATAAAGCTAGAAACGTCGATGAGAGAGAAACATCGACCAGCTGCCTCTTGCACACCCCCTACCGGGGATGTGCCTGCAACCAAGGTACATGCCCTTGACCATAATCGAACCCGGGACCTTTCAATCCGCAGTCCGACACTCTATGCACTGAGCCAAACCGGTCTCGGCCCTCCTCCATCTTTGAATCTGCAGAAAAGAAGATGAGGTGGGAACAATGCTCAGCCCCTTTTTCTAGAAGGGGAAACTGAGGCTTGTAAGATTCAGGTCACAGTGCTGTTCAGTGGCTGAGCCTGAACTCCAGGTAAGCTAACACCCGAGCCCCGAGGCCTTTCTCTGTAAGCATTTTTTGATTGGATGAGTGTTAAATAAATTGATTCTTAAACTCACAAAATACCCAAGTTCTTAGTAAAGAAACAAGGTTCGTTCACATATTAAAGATAAAACCATCTAATCACAGGAGCAGAAGGTAACAGATTGCTAGGATATGAAACATAATATTTACCAAACACTTATTTTTTAAGTGCTGGTCAGTTTCTGAGCATTAGGCACTTAGGAAGCAGGTCGTGTGACCCCTCGTACCCTGGTCTGGTCCCGGAACTTGCTGCCTGCCTCGCTGGCTTTGGCCTGGGTCTCTGTGATTAGTTCCTTAAGTGACAAAGCATCATCTTTTCTCAAGGAAAAGCCCACATTTCTCAGCATTAACAGGATCAATTCGATATCTTTCTCTGTGAAAGTTCCAATAAGCTTTTTCAAAATGTCGAAGATGAGGAGAGACTGTACCACGTGGAAGTTATACAAATGGGCAATGATGGTGAACAGGTTGTCACACTCTTTGCCCTCGCTTCCCTTTTTATAGACCGCATCAAACTTCCTCACCACGGCCTCCAGAAAGTGCGCTCCCACCTGCAGAGAGAACAGACCAGATGTCATTCCAGCACCTAACCATCGTGGCAGCAAGTTACTCTCAGGGACCCTTCTTTTCAACAAGCTTAAATGTTTATGCCGAGTCAGTACTTTTCAAATTAATGCGTAAGTATACACATGGTAGGATATGCACTCCCGCAGGGCATATGCTTTAAAACCAGTCTGATCTGAGTGTGCAGTATTGATACACAACACGGACGGGTGAATGAAGCACAATCTGTCACAGCACTCGAACCTCCCCTGAAGTACACTTGCTTCTAAACCGAGGTGGCCTGCTTTGGCCAGCAGCCATCTGGTTCCTTGGAAAAGTGGCCTGACGTCTCAGTCTGCAACGCGGCACAGATAACAGCACTCATTCTGAAGTGCAGGCTGAGCCTGGAGGAGGAGGTGGAAGCAGGAAACCGGGGGGGGGGGGGGGGGAGGTTAATGTGGCTGGTTAAATGGTGCAAGTGAACTGGACTAGACAGGTCAATATATATGTCATTGCCAAAGTGCAAAAACTAAATGCTAGAAGTCTCCGAGAAAAGCACGATGGGCAGGAGGAACGATGACTCCACAGAGGCCAGCGTCCATAGGCTGGGGATGTTCTTTAGTTAATAAATAACTTTAGCCCTAGAAGGTTTGGCTCAGGGATAGAGCGGTGGCCTGCGGACTGAAGGGTCCCAGGTTTAATTCCAGTCAAGGGCTTATGTCCGGGTTGCGGGCTTGATTCCCAATAGGGTGTGCAGTGAGGCAGCCCATCAATGATTCTCTCTCGTCATTGAGAGAAGGCAGGCGCCGGGCTCCGTCACACTCTGCAGGGAGGAGCGGGACTCGCCATGGTGAGGGTGAGTTGCTCTCAGAAATAAAACCCTGACTTCAGGAGGCCGACTCCCTCCCCACAAAGCCTGAGCCTGTCCTCTGCCCGCGTCCCTGTGCCCACACGTCCTGCACAGGCCACCGTGCCGGCAGAAGTTGGCTACCTGTAATGAGCACGTACCCAGGCCCCCGAGGAGGCTCACTCCTTGTAAAACTCGCTAGGCCAACTGCAGAGGCAGAAACAGAGGCAGGAGCTGAGCTCTGGCTTCGGGTAGCAGCTGCCGCACACTGCTGTCACGGTGGGACCCGGACACCACAAAGGAGACTCATCCTGGAGTCTGTGTGGTATAATCAGAGCCCGCCTCCGTAAGCCCGTGATTCTCTAGGCTGGGACTGAGAGAGCGAAGATCAGCACATGAAATGGCCGAAGACCAGGGCCCCGGAGCCAAACCATGTCCCTCCCCTGCCCCAGCTTATGGGCTGGGACGTCACACAGCTCCTCTGGCTTTGCTGAACTTGCAAAGAGGGGTCTAGTCAACATCTGCTCTAAGTACCTCGCTGGGAGACCGCCAGGACCCGTAGCGAGGACAAGGAGCCTGGACCACAGGGCCTCCTGCAGTGGTGCTCAGGCTGTTCTAGGGTAGGGCTATCAGAGGCAGAGACACAAACCCACCATTAAGACCCTCCCCCACAGAGTCCCAAGTTCTCCTTGAAAAGAAACTCCAACCGCTAAGTAAGCATCATGGCCAACTTGCCGCCCATTTGCCTCCCTTTTCTGCACTCTGGAAGCAGACGCCTTCCTTCACCTTCAGTGACCTGGGAGTGGCCACACGGAGGGCATGGGGTACGGACTTGGGAGGGTGGTGAAGGGGTGGGGACAAGTACACTCAGCGGCGCCGATTAGGCACCAGTGTGTGCAGGACCATACGTCATCTGACAGACCCCATAAGAAAAAGCCCCACCCCAGACGAGGACATGGGCCTGCCTGCTGGCTCCAAGCCTTGGCCTGTCACTGTCTCCTCACGGGGACTAGCTTTACCTGACATTCTGGTGGCCTTCTTAGTTATGGAAAAAAGAAAAAAAGTCTCCTGATCAGTACAAACATCTCAGAGGTAAGATCACACCTCCACTGCTTTCTGAACACCGGAAATAAGTCAGTGTTCAAGAGGAAACACAAAGAAAATGAAGGCAAGTCTGAGACATAAGCCAGAGGAAGATAAACTAATAAATAACAAAGACATGCTAGAATGAACCCCACACAAAGGCAACAGTTAACCAAAATCAATTATTTCCTGGATGTCGTTTAGAAGGTGACACAGAGCAGGCTGTGCTGAGCCGCCTGCGGCTGGTCGCCACAGCAAGCACCGCTCAGAGCCACTGCCGCCTACCTCGATGCCCACTGTGCGGTGCAGAATGCTGACCAGGAGGACGTGCTCCATCACCAGCCTGCCCGGCATGGCCGTGCCCGGAGCGCAGGCGCTCACGAGGATGCCGGTCAGGGTGTCGCTCATGTCCTTCCTGCTGTGGGCCATGTACAGCTCCTCCAGCTGCCCGCTGATGTGTGCCATGTTCGGCTCACTCAACCTGCAGACAGTTGTAAAGACAGAGCCGCAGTGACGTTTCAAAATGGGAATTACTTTTTAGATCAATTAAAAAAACAACAACAGAAAAAGGTATCAATACCATCAATGCCCACATCCTATTTCATGGGACACACTGCCTCATGGACAATGCTGACCTTGCCACAACATATACGAGGAGCACACGATCCTCTGGAACCTGCAATACCGAGACTGCAGTTTTTTCTTTCCGGCTGAAATGCAGCCACAGTGCAGGACACACAGGACTCCCTCTTAAGAGCTAACCCGCCATGCCCCATGGAGGACACACTGGGCCCCCCTGAGACCAGACACGGTGCTGAGGAAGCTGCACAGGAACGCCGCCCCAATGCCCCCAGGGAGCCATCCTTGCACATTAGTATGTGCCGTTGGGAAAATTCCAACATCCCATTTTCCTGCCCATACGAAAATCTTGGGCTCCTAAACATGAGGAGAGGTTGCCCATCTCCTGGGTGGAGAAGGAAGGAACCCTGTGCACACGGAAGCTGCGCACTGCACCTGTGCTCACAACCAACGTTAAAACAGCTTGTTTAGCCCTGGCTGGTATGTCTCAGTACCAGCAAAGAGTTGTGAGTTCGATTCCCAGTCAAGGGCATGTAACTGAGCTGCAGGTTCAATCCCTAGCCCTGGTTGGGGCACGTACAGGAGGCAACCAATCAATGTCTCTTTTACATGGATACCCCCCCCAACCCCTCCCTTCCTCCGCTCTCCCTTTCACTCTCTCTAAAAATCAATGGAAAAATATCCCTGAGTGAGGATTAACAACAAAAAGCAGAATTTCAGGATACACCATGGAAACAGTGTTTTGTTTTCATCAGTAAAAAAAAATTTTTAAAAGCAATTGGGGGCTGGAGGGTGGGGTGGGGATGATAGGGGTAGGAGAGCCATGGGCGCCGACTCTGCAGAGCTGTATGTACACACACACACACACACACACACACACACACACACACAGAATGAGCCTGAAATGGAGGCCACACTCCTGCCTGGAGGGCCACATTGGATCATGAACTCGCTCTGCAGGGAAGAGGGTCCATCCTGCTGCCCCTGCCCCAGGACTTCTCAGAATAACCACGTGGGGCAGCTACACTGCTTTCAGACTCTGACAGGTTCAATGTACCAGAGAGAAAAGGTGAGGAGTAAAAAAAAAAAAAAGAAAAGAAAAAAAGAAAGAAAGAAGCCAATCAGTGGCCACAGTCCTGTCCCCTCACTGTTTTAATTCCTGGGATAGTTTCTGTATATTTATTTATTTTTAAAATACATTTTTTACTGATTTCAGAGAGGAAGGGAGAGGGAGACAGGTAGAAACATCAACGATAAGAGCGAATCACTGACAGCTGCCTTCTGCACACCCCACACTAGGATCCAGCCTGCAACCCAGGCATGTGCCCTGGCTGGGAATGGAACTGTGACCTTCTGGTTCATAGGTTGTCGCTCAACCACTGAGACATCCTGGTCCAGCTAGCTATATTTTTAGAAAACAAACAATCTCTTTCAGTGACAATATAACTGTGTTTCGAGGTTACCTGTTAATTAGGCCTTGGACATGCTTCTTTAGCCGTTCTCGCTCTTCCTTTTTCCGGGCATCCACTGTCTCCTCCGCTCGCAGCACATGAGGGGGGATATACTTTCCCGCATTTTCACAAAGACTCTGCTAGAAAGGACAGAAGTTACAAAAATGTACACCAACTGAGCTGTAACCACTGACTACAGCTGGGTGCATACACGAGGCAACCAACTAATGTGACTCTGTTGCAACCACTGACTGTGCTGTAACCGTTGACTACAGCTGCTTACACACATCAGCATCAGTAGAGCGCCCCTCAGCACCTGTGGGGTCATCATTTGCGCTGATGTCAATATATTTCCCCATTCATTCTGCTCTTCCCTCTGTAGTTCGACCTGGCTGTGCCCCTCTGGGACCTTGACCAAGGTTTAACTTCCAGGGACAGAGCACACAAACACCAAATGGACCACCGTTTTGGAGGGAAAGGGATCTAAAATAATTCCAATCTGCCCTGGCCAGGTGGCTCAGTGTTGTCCCATATGTCAAAAGGTTGCAGGTTTGATCCCTGGCTGGGGTGCATGCATCGATATTTCCCTATCACAGTAATGTTTCTTTCTTTCCCCCTTCTCCCTCTCTAAAAATCAGTAAAATATGGTAATTTCAAACTTATTGAAAACTAGGATCTAAATTTACATGCTAAAATAAAAATAAACTCACTGCTCACTAGCTCCGAGCATGTCAACTGCAAGGATTACAAACTGTGACCACTGGCCAGCACTCCCTGGGCACCGCGTGACAAGTCTTTGGGAAACATCTGTGCCAGGTGCACCGGCTAATAATGCGGATTTTCAATGCGGATTTTCAATAGGTGGAAGTTACACACATTGATATATATGCGATTTGATATGTACGCTATTTTGTTGTATTGACAACAAGCTTCAAAACTTCATATGCCAAATTTGCTGAAGGTGTTAAAAAAAACAGTAATTAAGGAAAAAAGCAAAATTGTGACTAAGGGGCCACGAATGTGAGAAGGAGAACTTCCAGGGGCTGCCTGCAAGGGGCCTGTGGGAGTGGAGCTGGGGCAGGGGAAAGCGCAGGCCGGACTGCTGTGTCCCTGGCTTGTGAACTTGACCTTCGATGCCAGACTATGGAAGTGAGTGCTAGAGTTTCAGACTCACTCCAGGAGCAGCCGGAGAGAAAAAGGCTCGGTGAGGGAAGAGGGGTCACAGCCAGGTTGGACGAATGGAGATGTCCTCTTGGGCCACCGGTGGGGCTGGCCATCTAGTCCCTGGGATGAAAAGCCTCTAGAGAGCTTTTCTCCCTAACTCTTCGTTATGGAAACTTACGAACATAAAAGTAGGCAGAATAACCGCTTTACCTTCTCAGGTCAAATACATCACTTGTGCCCGGATCCCACGCTCTGTCCGTCACTTTGAGCAGTGGCTGTTCACACCGTACCTGATCCGCTGCGTCCACGTCCTCCGGGGGATCTTCAGTGCTTTCTTCGACTTCTGCAAACCGGACTCGCCTTCCGGCGCCTTTCCCCTTCGCTCTCCCCTCTGCCGCTGCTTTTCTCAGCTTCTCCGCCGGCACACCCTCCTCCTGCTTGCCCTCGTCGCCCTGCTCCCCGCTTCCGTCCTCCGAGTCGCTCTCCACGTCGCCTTCGTCCTCGGCCTCGCTCTGCACGTCGCCTTCGTCCTCGGCCTCGCTCTGTACGTCGCCTTCGCGGTCTGTCTGTCCGTCCTCCTCGCTGCTGCTGTCGCACAGGCCACTCCCCGCCCCCGCCCCCAGGGCTCCCAGGATGTAGTCGAGTCCGTCGCGGGCGAAGCTGAGCGGCACAGAGCTGGCGTCCCCCTTCCTCCTGCGCTTGTTCAGGCCCAGGCAGCGCTCCAGCTTGCGGATCTCTCGGTCCTCCTCCTCGTTGGCCGCCAGGAGCGCCCGTCTCCGGGCGGCGTTGGCAGCGGCGGAGGGCCGGGTGCTGCGGGAGGCAGCCCTGGTCGGGGCCGGGGGAGGCGGCCGTGGGGCCCCGGGTGGCGGCCGTGGGGCCGGCCCGCTCCGCCCCTCGGCGCCGTCCGCCCGGGGCCCGCTCCCCAGCCCGGGTCCGCCGCCCGGGCCTCGCGCGGGGGCCGCTGTCCTCTGGAGCCGGCGCGCCTTCCTCAGCTGCCGCTTCTCCTTCCGCAGCTCCCGGCGGCTCTTCCTCCGGCCGGGCCGCGCGCGCCGCTCCGCCCGGGGCGCCTGGCGGCCGCCGGGCTGACCCTCGGAGGTCGCCTGCACGAACTCCTCCACCGCGAGCTTCAGCCGCTTCAGGGCCACCCCGCCGCCGCCAGGCCCGCGCCCTTCCCCGCGCTTCCCGCGGCCCACGCGCCGCCGGCAGCCGCCCCGGCTCGACGCTCCCGCGCCGGCGGACGCCGCCATCTTCCGGACGGACCGATGCTGACTTCCGGGTGGAAAGCGGGCGGGGTCGCGCCCCCTGGCGGCGGGAGGGCGGTGGCGCAGGGAACTGCGCAGCCGCAGTGAGTCGGCCTCAGAACAGATTGTAAACCCAGTAGATGGTGACTTGGGAGCTGCGTCCTCTCTTCATCCACGAAAGCCCTGCAGATCACGGTACAGAGGCCTCTGCACGCCCTGCCACAGAAGGAGCGTCGCAGAGCGTGAATCTCTTCACACGTGGGTGCATTTACCTGGGTGAGAACAGGCCCATAGGAAACTGTCCTGTTGTTTCTACGTGTATTTATGGGGATCTTCATACTCAGCCTGCTGTTCTGAGACATGTTTCCACTCAACGCCCGCCTCAGTGTCTCCGTGTGCTGTGTGATTCTTCTCCTGGGGTGGTGCTCCACCACGTACTCCTCTGTTGATAGACATGCACCCCGTGATCCAGTGTCCCCAAGTCCATGCCTATGGAAATCATGACCGTGACCTTATTTGGAAATAGGGTCTTTGCAGAGAGGGCTAGGATTAGGTGGGCCCTGACTGCAAGCAGAGTGTTCTTAAAAGAGGGAAAATGGACTCACTCACAGGGAGAAGGACATGCGATGGGGATGGGGTGGGGATGACAGTTTCCAAGCCAAGGAAGCAAGGACAGCTGGCCATCACCAGCAGCTGGGAGACGCCTGGGCTGATCTTCTCTTGCAGATCCAGAAGGAGCCCACCCTGCCCGCACCTGGACTTCTGGGAGTGAGTATTTCACAGGCTGAGGTGGAGCCCTATAGGCTGGGCGAGCTTCAGTGTGGAGAGAGCTCTGGTAGCTGCTCACAGGCCTGGATCACAGTCTCCTAAGCTCCTGGAGAGAAGCGCCAGGGAGGAGAAAGGGACTCCCAGCCGCAGCCTGCAGTCTAGGGGTTTGGAGCAGCAGGAGGGGGTTCCTGGGGCACGGCCCTGCCCCTGCATCCCTGGTACCTTCCATTTCATACCGACTGGTGGGGCCATGGCTCATTTCTGCCCAGAGGGCCTGGGAACCAGTATGCAGGGCTGTGCAAGGGAGAGCCAAGAATAGGTGTGACAAAGCTCATCTCCACCCTAGCTGGTTGCTCAGTGGTTAGAGCATTGGCCTGGGGACTGATGGATCTTGGGTTCATTTCTGGTCAAGGGTCACGTACCTCTGTTGCAAGCTTGATCCTCTGTCCCATTGGGGCTCGTGCCAGAGACAACCAAGCAACGTGTCTCTCCCCCTCCCTTCCACTCTTTCTAAAATTAATGCGAAAAATATCCTTGGGTGAGGATGAACCACAACAACAAAAGCTCATCCCCATCTGTGCCCATTCCTCTGGTCCCCATTCTCTCAGCACCCTCGCCACCCACCATGACTCTGCAGGGTCTGCCTCCTGTCATTGCACCCAGGAGCCCAGGCCTCTCTCCCTCATTCAATGATTGCTCTGGTGCTCATTGGGAGAGGGAGTCAGTCACCCTTTCTGACACACCATTTGACAGGCACCAGATGAATTAAGCCCGTTTATTCCTGCAGAGGGCTGAGCGGGGGCTGGCACACAGTCGCTGCTCAGGAAGTGAATGTCGGCGCCCTCCCAGAGCCCTCTCCAGGCATTCGGGGCAGTGGTGGACAGGGAGTTCTGTTTCTCTGGGCCTGGAGAAAGGGCTGGTTGCAAACATAAAACAGTCCATTCATGACACAGAGGCTGACAGGTGTGCAACAAGGCAGGTGGCAGAGTGCTGTGTGCATGCATGTGTGCATGAGCATGTGTGTGTGTGTTCCTACCTGTGTCTGTGCATGCAGAGATGGCTGGAGAGGTGGGCAGGGCCGGGGGTGAAAGGTCACTAGGTTTTGTGTTTATTCTGGGAGTACTGGGAAGCTCAAAGTGTTTTAAGTGGACAAGTGGGTAAGAGTGTGGGGGCAGCAGCCTAAATGGAGCTGCATTTGGAAAAGATCACCCTGCTGTGGGCAGGACTGACCCAGGCTGGTCAGAATGACAGACAGGCCGAAGGCTGGGGCATCAGACACTTGTTCCCCAGCCTGGAAAAAGCTGTTGATTGGGGCTTTGTTTGATGAATGCTCTCTTAAGAGCAATATAATATACAATGTAAAGCGTCACCTTTACTCAGTGTCTTAGTCCATTCTGGCAGCTGTAACAGGCACCACAATGTGTGGCTTACACAGCGGACATGCATTCTCACCGGAGGTTGAATCCGAGATCCAGGCCCTGGCAGACTCCCTGTCTGGTGAGCACCCTCATCGCGGTTCATGGACAGTGTCTTCTCACTGTGTCCTCATACGGTGGAGGGGACAGTGGCTTCCTGGGGTCCCCTTTACCTGGGCACCAACCACACTCACAATGGCTCCTCCCCCATGACCTCGTCACCTTCCAAAGTCCCCACCTCCTGATACCATCACCTAGGGCACATGTGTCAAACACAAGGCCCGCGGGCCAAATCCGTCCCGCCAGGCCTTGCAATGTGGCCCGCACCACGCTGTCATCACTGCACTCCGCTGCGTTTCCATCACAATGACCGTTTATGACTGTTCAGTAAACCATTCGGCCCGCGATTTAGGCTGGATTTTAGATTTTGGCCCCTTCTCTGATTGAGTTCGACACCCCTAACCTAGGGGATTAAGATTTAACACATGGCCCGGCCAGCGGCCAGCGTGGCCCAACCAGGAAGTCATGGTTCAATTCCTGGTCAGAGCACAAGACCAGGTTGTGGGCTTGATTCCTGGTAGGAGGCGTGCAGGAAGCAGCCAATCGGTGATTCTTTCTTGTCATTGATGGTTTTATCTCTCTTTCCCTTCCCATTCTGTCTAAAAATCAATGGAAAAAATATCCTCAGGTGAGGATTAACAAAACAAAATAAATTCATGTACTTTTTGCACTATTAAAACGTGCTATAGCCAGCATTCCTCTGTGTGTGTGTGTGTGTGTGTGTGTGTGTGTGTGTACAGGACCGTGCCAGTGTTTTGCTTAGAAATTGCTTAGGGAAAGTATGTAAATATAGCTGGGACCGGTTTGGCTCAATGGATAGAGCGTTGGCTTGGGGACTGAAGGGTCCCAGGTTCGATTCCAGTCAAGGGCATGTACCTTGGTTGCGGGCACATCCCCAGTAGGGGGTGTGCAAGAGGCAGCTGATCGATGACTCTCTCTCATCGATGTTTCTAACTCTCTATCTCTCTCCCATCCTCTCTCTACAAAATGAATAAAATATATTTTTTTTTAAAAAAGAAAGTATGTAAATATATATTTTTAATTAACAGGTAATTCCAAATTTTCAGTGCACTTCTGTGCCAGCTCACACTCAAATTTGGAGTGACAGTGTGTTCCCCATGCCCCCTCCTTCATAGACTTGTCTCTGGGTTTTCACCTTTGCCCCTTTGCTAGGTCAAAGGTCGGCATGGAGTTGCCCTGTGATAGGGGCTGCAGTGGGGAGGCCTAAGCTGCAAGGCCACCGAAACCCCCTTCCTTGCTCCCTGCACCGGTGTCAAAGACAGCTGGAGCACTGCTGCTCTGAGCCACGTATTCTTCTGAATTCTGCTTGACAACGCCAATTGTGGGCAGATTCCTTCTCAAACCCTGCCCATTGCACTAACTGTTGGGTTCGAGCCCCTCTGCCAGGGACTGGGCCTTCTTGGATGCCGGGTCTTAGGCAGATGCCATGAGAAGTTGTGGGTGTGTAAGAGAATCTTTAGTGCAGAAGCCAGTGGCCACAGCAGTCCTTCACGGCAGTCCCATATCTTTCCCACACGGCAGCAGCCGTCTGCACCCACAGCTACTGCCTGAGCAGCCGCACGCTGCCCTGGACCTCCACCTCACATTGCAGCGGCACCTGAGCAGCTTCTGCAGCCTCCCCAGCCTTTCCTGCACACACAGGAGCTGCACCCTCCGGGCTGCCTCAGCTTCCGCAGCACACCCTCCACTGGCCAGTGCTGGCATCACACCATCAGGCAAAGGAGGCCTCTGCCAGTGACGGCACCAATCACTTCACAGTGCATCGTGAGATCGCTGTGGCCTGCGGCTGCGTACCGGATCTCAGCTGTGAACATTCTGATTAAGATTCCCATGCTCAGGGCCTTGCTGTTGGCGTACTATCAAAAGGCCTTTTACCCTCTGAGTTCCCTTGACTGACTGACGACTCTGGCATGGTTCCCACAACCAGCCAGCCACCGAGCCACAACCCAGGTGTCTTTCCACACATCCATCCCATCAACCCTGATGGAGAACATGTGGCTAGACCCTGGGTGCTGCCCAGGCTCTTGTCCCATCCTTCTGATCGTTGTCCTGGGTCCTCTCCAGCCCATCGCTGGCAAAGGGCTCACTCTGACCCAGGCCTCTTCTCACCATTTCCCAGCTGAGACCGTTCTGTGGCTCCCTGTACTCTGCGGAGTCAAGTGTGCAGCCTTGTCTGGGACACCAGACCCCTTCACCTTCATTTCTGTGAGAGATGCTCACCTGTTCGAATTCAAATAATGGACTCAGAGGACGAAGTATGGCGAAAACGAGACTTCTAATGTGGTCTTGCAAGACTCGGCGTCTAGTTGCACAGGCACACATGGAGCAGCGGTCACAGGCTGTTTATTCCTAATGTGCAAGAATCCCTCCCCGCTCCTCATTGGCTGAGCACTATAGGGTTAGCAGTCCCTCCCTCTCCCCAGTGTGCCACCTAGGTCTCATTGTCCCCTATTGGGTTATTTAAAAAAACGGGCTGGGGCCTTTTCTAGTTGCCTCCACCGTCCTTTGTCTAGTTGTGGCAGATCTTTCCGGAAAATGTGCTGCTGGTCGTGTGCACAGTTCCTTGTTCTTATACCCTCTCACCTCCTCCTGCATCCTGTTTGCCCTGGGACAATTCAGTAACCGAAGGGCAGCATGCTGTTCGTTGTCTCCATGAAAAGTTAACTATGCCGAAGATGGGTCAGAGGCCTACTTCCTACCACTTCAGCTGCGCCTCTGCAGGACCCACTGGGCAGGAGACGAGCCTCCCGCTGGCTGGAACACTCCCTCT